ATGTTAAAAACTAAAGCACTATAAATTATAGGATAAAATATAGTGTGCAATATAGCAAGTATAACTGATATATACTAACATACCATGTAAAGAGCATCGCAGTGGCGCTGCAAAAACGATTTAAATCTTCCAAACGCAGTCTCTATGGGATTCAGGTATGGACTATATGACGGGAGGAAAAACACTCTCGCTCCCACGGATTAGATAAGCTCTACTACATCTACGCGTTGTATGCAGCGTTATCAAGAATCACAATGCTCCGCGGCAAAGGCCACGGTTTGAGACAAGGCAGAATTTGATATTGGAAATGATTGGAGAAAGTCGTAGAGTTGTATGTCCCCATAGTTAGTGCCCAGGCACACAATCCAGATAGGTCGCTAGCTGCCAGCATGCTAACACGGTTGCCACGTTCGAATGGACTTTTCGCAAATATATTCTGTCCTTTCGGGCCATAGCCACGCTTCCGAAACGTTGAGCGAGCATCGCGGGATGTCTCGTCGACGAAGACCTGTTGATTCATGTTATCTGTAAACCTGTTCTTTTAAAATAAAAGAGAAAGTCAGAGCAATGAAGAAATTTATTTAAATATTTAATATATTGATACTTCCCATAGACCATAGATAATAGTTAAGATCAAAATAAACCTTACCCACGATAAACAGGTAAATAGAATCCAATTGTCCTTCAAATGAAGCATATCTGGCAGCCTTTTCCATTACCCGCCTCGTATACTTCATGTCGAACTTCAATATGCGAAGTATAGTGATATATGATATCGTATTTCCTCCATTGGCAAGTTGTACTTGTCTCTGGAGTTCATCGAGATATATTGCTGGATAGCTTTATACAAGGCCTCAACTTGGGCTATTAGTTCTTTGGTACGCAACAAATCATCTCGCCTCTTTCTTTGTTTGGTCACCTTCACAGGACACCCAGTGTTTAGCCATGTTTTAACTATTCTACGTGTTGAACTCTCTGAAACTCTTAAACAATAATCGTATGTCATCGTAGGTAAGATGGTAGCAATACCAAGCGGAAATAACCAGCCAGGCTACATTCTCCGAAATCACCATTATTAAATAACACTAGGACTAGGCGAGACGTGTGCGTAGTGTGATGTCTATATTTTCTATTTACTATCATCACATGTAAAGATAAAAAAACAAGCTTGATGAACCAGATAAAGATGAACAACTTTAAAAAAAAATTAGATAATAGATAGATATTTTTTTGAAATTATTTATATCCGCCTACAATAATAATCGGGGAGATTGTTCACCGTCCAGGTTCTCAACTCTGGGAAACCGATGGGGTGCGTTTTGTTCAGAACTTTTGTACATTTGCATTTTTTTTTTTGAAATTTAATACTGAGAGCCAATGGAATCAGCTTTAAATGAGATTTCTCTCAAAATATATAATTCTGAATAAATGAGCCCGCCAAGGCATAAATCACAGTTTCAAAAAAACAAAAACAAAAATATATGGCGTCCCATTCGCTTCTATTTTAAATTTTTGTTATTGGGCCACTGGCCAGGTCGATTTCCGCCAACTTTTCAACCCCGTTCCCTAGGTCTGCGATTTTGGGAACCCCCGCTCAGCAATGTTTTCCGGTCAAAATACCTGGAGGCTACAATTTGATGTGTAATAATATAAAATAAATACTAAAAGTAGTCTTCTTCCTCAGTACGATTCTGCAGTATTCCTGTGCTTAAGTGCTGCAAGATGGCAGGTAAACGTGTGAAGTACAATGCAGCTGCAATGTACCTGCAATGTACCTGATTCTCATACATAAAGTTATAAACGCTTGTGGAATATAAACTCTACTTTGCAAGCGCGCGCGTTTTCATTATATCCATTCCGACTTGGAGATGGAAAAATGGAGTGGGATCACCATCACCTCCTACTAAAGGCACACCAGTGGGAGAGAACGTACCCTTATGCACATACTTATCAATGCATTAACTGTTATAAGCACTTCGACAGATA